GTAGCACATATCTGTAATCCCAACAGGTAGAGGCAGGAGGATTTCAAGAGGTTTGAAGCCACATATGTAATAAGTTCAAAATCAAGCTAAAGTACATAGTGAGACACTGTCTCAAAAAACCAAACAAAATGGTAGAACATGGTACATTCACAGAATATTAAAACAATATGGTGGGCTGGTGAGATAGCGCAGTGATCTAAAGCACCAACTTAGAACAAGCTTAGCAAAGCATAGGGACCGCGGTGCCAGCCAGCCCTGCCCCCAGATGGGCTGAGCTGGCCACCAAAACAAAACAAAACAAAACAAAACAAAAAAACTCACTCTATAAAAATAAATAAAATAAATAAATTAAAAAAGAAAAACAACAATATGGTGGGGCTAGGGAGATGGCTCAATAGAATAAGCACTTCCCTGGTAAGTGCAAGGGTCTGAGTTCAATCTCCGGTTCTGCCCAAAAAAACCCAATATGGTAAATGCTGTTTCTGAGTGTTATCCAGTGGATCATCAATGTGAGAAGTGGCACATAACAACATGTGACAAGTATCAACTTGTTGGGTGTAGTCAGTCAATTGTTATCATTGAGAGAAAGTATGGCTAAAGTGTGCCATAAATCAAGGGTTACACATAATACAATAATGTTAAACTTTGTTAATTTCATTGGAGTTGTACTATTGTACATTGGGTTCTAGCTTTTTAAGAAATTTCATGGGGCCAAGGAGATGGCTCAGTAGAATAAGCACTTGCTTGTCAAGTGCAAGGGCCTGAGTTCAATCCCTGATTCCACCAAAACAAACAAACAAACAAAAAGAAATTTTATCATGGAGCTGGGTTTGCCTGTAATCCCAGGACTCAGGAGGCTGAGGCAGGTGGATCACTGTTGAGTTTTAGACCAGCCTGGGCTACAAAGTGAGCTCAAGGCCAGCATGAACTGCATAGTAAGACCCCATCTCAAAAAGACAAGAAAAAAAACCCTAAAACATTATGGGTGGGCATGGTGGTGCACTCCTGTAATCCTGGCACTTGGGAGGCTAAGGCTGGAGAATCCCTGCAAGTTTGAGGCCACCATGAGCCACACAGTAAGTTCCAGGAGAGCCTCAATGACAAAATAAGACCCTGTTAAGAAACAAACATTATATGGGCTGGTGAGATGGCTCAGTGGTCTAAAGC